CCGGCGGGGCAGAGACACCTTCCTGCATAGCAGGGACAAAAGCCTAGAAAGCAGGCAGAAAAGAGCTTACTTACGCGTGAAAGGAAAAGAATTACCTTACAGCGGAAAGCACAGATAGCGAGGAAAGCAGGCCAAAGCCGGGGAAGCACGGGAGATCAAAGCAGAGCGCAGGCTTGTAAAGGTCCACACTGCACGAGAGCTCACGAGCGAATGCAGTGCTGACAGTAAATTTGGAACACAGCCAATATCTTATGCTCTATATATTATGCAGGATACAAGTTGCCAGCGCCATCTAGCGGTTCGGTGACATTAAGTAGTCACAATACTATAGGATATGCAATAAGAGGGTGCATTCGTTTATGCCATGGATATAAGAATAACAGGACGGAGCATAAACCTGTGCTTTAGGCGAGGGAAGTGAAGCCGCCTTGCGGGGGAGGACTGTAGTCACGTGGTACATTAGTGCAGCATTAGTGATTGGTGCTAGCATAAACGCGCGAAATTGAAAACTTTTGTTTGTAGTTCATTTGCAATTATAAATGTTATGATAAGATATTTTGAAAATAAACAGAAAGAGAAAGAGAGAGAGAATGTTTTATTTATAAACTATCATATATCGATATTGAAGCGTTAATGTCTTATATAAATATATACCTCAATCAAGGTTAAAAAATACTAAATAGTTAGAAGTTAAAATCTATAAATATAAATATCTCTAATGTTTTTATTTGTATTTATTTAACTTTTTAATTGTGTAATAAATTTAATATATTTTGCAATCTTACTAAATGAGATGTATAAATATAAGTGAAACATATTATTCTATTCAAGCATAACCGAAAGATTACTTTTATTTACCTTGCACATGAGAATATGATTTAACGAATTTTATTATGGCATATAACTTGCTGCTGTGTAAATAAATTTTGTTTACAGTTTTGTAATCAAATAAACTTTATTACAGCTAATATTATAATATACATGTACATATATTGTGTGCATACATACAATTGCAAGTCTATTGACCTTTGAATAAAATTAATTTATTAAATGTCGCTTCAAAGACGGTGATTTCGATGTTGACGACCGTCCGCGTGAAGGAAGGCCAAAAACCTTCGAAG